AGGGTTTTCAGCATTGAAACAACATTCTCCGATGGATTTTTGAGGTGCACCTCTAATTTTGGATTTTAAGGTTGCAACCTTATATAAACTTTTGCGCTTTCATCGCAATTAAGTTGAAGTTACCACTTGGAAAGACGTGTGGCCATGTTATGGGTCCAAGTCGGCCCATTTTTAACTCTTTCTAATAGTATTTTCTCAAAATTGTGTAAGGCATTGGTTCCAATCGGCCCCTTTTTTAACCCTAAACGAGGGGATTTTCTCAAAAAGAATAAACAAAAGAAAAGAAAAAGTGTACCTTGGGGTTTGGAACTTCAACCTCCCAAATATAGATGGAGCACGCTAACCACTAATGTTGTTTTAAGTTTATTCACTAAATTTGTCTCTATCATCCAAATCAACGATTTGTGATCCGGATCAGCAACTTTTTAAGCATCAAATTTTAAAACCCTACCAGCTCAAGAACAACATGAAACAATCCTTTTCAACGAGGGGAATTTTAGATGATATGTTCATCCCTTCAGCCTATGGGCCGGAGGAGGAGAACGTGTCAAGCATCTATAGATATGAAAGGGACAAATGGCGGAAGACACAACACAATGGGTGTGTGTGTGTGAGAGAGAGCAGAGATAGAAAGTAGACCTTTAGCCAAGTTGAGGAGGTCATCCTCTGTCATGGTGGCCCGGGACAGGGTGCGCTTGATCTTCTTCTCCCAGAGGGATGCCATCTCATTTAGTGTCAAGAAATTGGAGACTGGCCTGAAGTGCAACGTCATGTTCAGGGTCCTCTCATCGTCCACGGCTTTCACCGTCATCTTCCCGATATCAGTTCCGGCCACAAAATAAGCTGCCACCACAAAAGTAAACTTGGGCGATTATAGGGAAATTTATCAAAATACAGATAAAAAATCAACTATTTAATATTGTACTTAATAAGTTTTGACTTGATTTCAAAATATCCATCAAAATGAGTTGGAATAGATAAAAAATCAACTATTTAATATTGTAATTAATAAGTTTTGATTTGATTTCATAATATCCATCAAAATGAGTTGGAATAGTTGAAAAACGGAAAGTTGTTGTATTGTTGAAAAGTTAGGTGTAATTTAATAAATTCCCCAAAATTATATTTACCATACCCCTTGTTATATCCCACAAGGATATAAATATATGAACCAACGTCCATATATGCAACTAGTGCTTCAAAAACTAGGTCAGGTTGTTCAATCGGCCATCAGCTCTGCCGGTCCATATCTATTAGATTAGCAATCCAGATAGGATGGAATCTGGAAAAAAGAAAGTTGTTAAAAAAATAAAAGTTGTGGGGAATACAGGCAATTCCAGGGTCCATAGACCTAGATTACCACCTATCGATCTCAGGTCAAATCAAGCAATTTTTGTTCAACTCAGCATATTTTAAAGGATATCCTTGTATCCCTCAAATTGATAGAAGAGCCAGGTAAAAAAAGTTCGATGGAATTTTCAGTAGAGCATAGTTCACAAACTGGGTGGAGGCGAGTTCTCACGCGCACCATTAAGGACATGGGAACGTGAATAGTAATCGGGCGAGTACTGTTCATACCGACCCAAGTCTTGTAGAATTCGGGCTCTTACTTGCACGGGTTACACAGTGCTTGGGCAGGCATGAGCAATATTCGTTCGGGTGCTGTTTATTTCTTGTAACATATGCACACCCCTATATTTTGCCTGAAAATCACCACCACAGCCTTAATCCATGTCACTTGATCCCAAATTCAAGATCTGCGTTCCTTTTTCCAAGATCTACCAAATATGAATGTTAGATTTGACAAGAGAACTCTGATTTCTTGCATTTCAGAGATTGAAATATTGAAGATTTTTATCCCTGTTTTTGAGAACTTTAATTTCAAGCCATCATAAAGATTTCTAGCACGGTAAAACATATTTCGATGCTATTTAAACGTGTGGCTTACTTTGACTGTTTGAGGCCTCAACTCTTTACAAACCACGCTTGATTTATAAAGGGACATGGTAACTATGAGTCCATCTAGAAATGAGTAATCTCTTAAAAATTTATTTTTGAAATGGATTTTTTGATCCAATTTTTCAAGATATATAATCTCTAACATGGAGACATGAATATAAACAAAAATAAATAAATTTTAAAAATTAAACATAATAGTTTTAACTGTTTTTAGATGGGCCAGCTATTTGCATTAATTTTAACTGTTTTTAGATGGACCACCCATTTGCGTCCCTCTTTAAGATAGCTGCTTTATAAGGACTCAAATGTAGAAATGCACCCTTGGAAGTCTTAACATCCAGATGTCATATAACTCGAGGTCCGGATGTTATGTTCATGAGATTGTTTGCGACCCCCCCTAAAACATGCATACAATTCCACCCACGCAAGATATTATTCTCTTGCACAGTTTCCATTTCGAAAGGCTAAAAATATCCAATTAGTTTGGTTGCACATTGAAGGCCTTTCTAGATTCTATACAAAAATATGAAAACATAGCAAGTGTTTGGATTCCACTTACTCAGATAGTAAACTCGGCAGGTCAAACCGGAACTGGGTGTTCGCTAATTTGGTTTTGATAGTTAGGCCTAATATGTTTTTAAAAAAATATAAAAAATATAAAAAATCTCACAAAATAGAGGATTTTGTTTGTAATGTATTTTTTAATATTTTTGTTTTATCATTTTTAGTAAAGATTGAAAAGTGTTTTGACCTTCAATATTTATTTTTATATTTTTTCACTTTTTTTGAAAAATTTCAAAAATATCTCTTGCCCAAATTAATTTTTTTAAAATTTTTTTTTTCGAACTTTATAATACATCCAAACTATCAAATTTCATATCAAATGATTCTAATGAATTGTCTTATTTTATTATTCAACTTTATTTGGATTTGTTTTGTTTAATCATACTTTCCTATCCGCTTTGATAATGGTTTATATATATATATATATATTTTTTTTAAAAAAAAAAAAAAAAAAAAAAAAAGTAGATCATGACCTCTTTAATAGGGCTCAAACAAGCCGCGCATTGTTTGTTGGTAAATAGGGACGTGAATGGTTGTAATGTGAGAAAGGGCGAAAGCGTACAGTACCTTTGATGTTGCCGTCACCGTAGATGAGAAAGCGATCGAGGGGCGGGGGCACCTCGGACGGGTGGGTATTGTCGTGGTATGGCCACGCGGCTATGGAGTTGCAGCATATGTAGGTGCAGGGGATCTCTAAGCCCTCGGCCGCACGCCTAACCATCCTCTTCTCTTTATACATTGCTAAAGCCGGCTCCACAGGCTCCGCCTTGTCTATGTCATGACCAAATTCGGACGGCACAAACCTCTGCATCTCATCATCGTACATCCATTTAAAATTAGATAAAGCCATCTCCTTTTTTTATATATAAGAATGATTACTTGTTATATATAACAACATGGGTGAGGTTTGTATATGGTTGCCTCCTTATAGTGTACAAGTAAGGCGCACCTATACAATTTACTTAGAGATATCTTTTTGGTATAAAAAACCTTACGATGGTTTCAAAATCTCTTTTTATCTTCAGTTATAAAATTTAAAATTTGAAAAATGGTACAGATCAAGCAAATTAATAAATACTTGAAAATAGACGGTCAAGATAACTTGTTACAAGATGCACTATTTTTTAGACTTGAAATTCTATTCTTTTATTTCTTCATGTCCATTTATCTCAAGTTTGAGATGATGAGTTGGAGGGTTCTCCTATGCCGAAGCACTCTCCACTGGGCTTTTTGATGTGCACCTTACTTCAACAATATATGGTGAAGCCTTGTATAAACTTTTTCCTAACAAACATTATCTAACAATCCAAGAAAAAAAAACACATTATCTAGCAATTGTGCTAGACTCTCCGTCTCTCTTTCCCTCTCAATAATAAGAATGGGGCTAATTTTTTTGTTTTTTTTTTTTGGGTAGACCAGTAGGGAATTCAACCACTACTTATTTTTAAAAGGAAAAAGTTTATATAAGGATGCAACCTTATATTATTGAACTACTAAGGCACTTTAAAAATCTATCGAAAAAGGTAGTTTTAATGTTGGAAAACCATTTGATTGATCATCTCGATGTCGAGATGTATGCCATGAAAAATAAAAAGATTTAAGTCTCAGAAATAGTACATTT